AAAATACAATGCTGTCCAGAGAATCATTTACACGAAACGAGGTCTATCATTGTACGGTTCGGGTTTTCAACTTTCCACGCAAACCGAGGTCTACCCCCAACTACCCCTGCTACAGGAGGAGGAGCTGTTATAGTTCCTCTCCTGCCTACATGTGTACTATCGATACACACATATCACCAAATTACTTCCCTTAGCACTGACACAAACTGTTATATTTCTTAAACTTTTTTGTTAATAACTTTTTAATAAAAACTGTCCGCCGGCTAAAACCTAAAGGTCATTCAAGAAGTGTGACAATGACCTTGATAACATATGTCAAGGTCAAGGTCATCGGAGCCTGCTCCGCTAAACTATATAATTACCACCTTTTTTATATTCATAATATTTTATATATTTGTATAATATTTTCTATACTTGAATTATACTGGAACAAGTTGCGACCTCTATTCCCTCTTCAGCCAAAATATAATCTTAACAATGAAATCAGAACACATCTTTTTGTAATACACTAGGCATCACAGACAAGCGCTTTGCGCGCGCTATTTAGCTTTAACATTATGCTATTACTTGACAGCTGCTCATGAAGTAAGTGCAGCGAGAAAACCAATCGGCATCGCGAAAAAGCGACAACAATAATATGGACTAGATAGATTATAGCGCGCGTTTTGCGCGCGCCTTGTGGTGTTTTTTATTTGTTATTATCTATGCAAAAAACATTTATGTCACACGTGCATGGAAAGTGGCCCATTACGCACGCGACACGTGCGTGATAGGCCACTTTCTACGCACTTGCAACATAAAATAGGGTATGCAACACGTGCATAAAGTTGAAAATTCCCGAGTGCGAAGTTGACGCACGAGCCGACGGCTCGTGCGTCAACTCCGCACCCGGGAATTTTCATCTTCCAACACTTGTTGCACAAATAACTCTTATGTCACACGCGCGTGCGGGAATATCTCATTCCTGCACGGGTTTGATTGGGGAATTTCTCGCGTGTGGAATTGGCTATTTGTCGCACAGATGGCGCGCGCGTAATGGGCCACTTTCCACGCACTTTGTAATATAAAATAGGGTGTGTAACACGTGCGGGTTGAGAATTGGACACAAATGCGGAGTGGACGCACGAGCCGTGCCCGCACTTGTTACACAAATAACTATTGTACACTCGATCAATCGACTGAATCGAGACGACCAATCACGTTTGCAATAACACGACAACAATTGCAAACGCGATTTGGCCAACTTCAGGGTTTTATACCGCTTTTATAAGAGGATGGATGGATTTGTTGAAAATTCCCTCTCCATCATGATTCAATAGTCAATATAAATAATGTAAATCGTATAATATTTTTAAGATTTGTTGTCGCAAAGATAAAATTGATATCTTTTTCAAGACTTTTTCAAGTCTTTATCAAATTTTCCTGTACTAACTAAATATGCTTGGTTATATAATTTTGTGTCTTAAATTCAGTCTCTCCTTTTGTATTTTATACAGAGTATTTCTAAAATCGGACTCTTATGATTTGACAGTTCTTAATCTAATTGTAAGATCTTCGTGTTTTTCTAATCAAAATCGTGATTATTTGCAAGACATAATCTATTATAACTAAATATTAAAATTTATTATATTTTTTGAAAAAAGTTTCTTTGTATTCAATTTACTCTCGTCATTAATTGATGTTTTGTCTGTTTACGATTTACGCGACACATCTTTACATTTTATTACGAGTTGTATTTGATGATTTCTCCACACGAGGTCACTTAGCATATCTATAAGTCAATAGTAACATTAAGGTTACAAAATATGTCTTATAACAGTGTTGCTATACAGAAAAAAAGAATTAGGTACTATAGTAAATCTATTCGTAAAATATGGGATAACTAACATTTTTTGCAGCGAGAGCTATAATTTTGCAATAATAGCAAAACTTTTTGTGAAAGTTTTGTTAAACATTTTGCTACTTAATAATATTTAATTGCAAAAAGATTTTGCTACCATTGCTAAATTATATATAGCTCTCGCTGCAAAAAATGTTAGTTATCCCATATTTTACGATTTGCTATAGTAACTAATCCTTTTTTCCGTGTATAATTTATTATTTATAACCCTCGTACATATGTACATTAAGGGCCGGTTATTCCAATCTGTTGGTAAATTACCTAATTTAAATCATATATATGTATTTGTTTATCCTTTATATTAGATAAAGATAGACATATAATTTAACTGTTAGTTAGCTTACCAACATATTAGAACAACCAGCCCTATACAATTCTGAGAGTAATGCATTAAATCTTTGTGTTTTAATGAATATTTAATTAATTAAAATGTCAATCTCTCTCTCTTCCCTCCTCCCCCCCCATTCTTAGATCTGTATCCTAAAATGCAGCTCTGTGTTTCTTCGTAATTATATTATGTAGTTTAAAGTGAGTAATGCAAAACTTTGCATGGTTTTTTAGCCTTATTTTAAGAATATTATTTTATTTTTTAAGTAACAAAAATGTTCTTCTTTCTTATATTATATCTTAGTCACTAAAAATTTGCAAGAAAAACCACATATGATGTAAATGACTAGCTGATCTAGCTATTCTAGGTATTTGAAACGCAGAAACCAAAAATTGTCTTATTCAGGAGAAGTGTGGCTATCGTTTGAACTGGAACTAAATCAGTATTTCCATTCTGAATAAAATATATGGTGCCTTTTTTATTAAAAATATTATAGTTTTCCTCAAAATTTTGTTAGTATTTTATTTTAAAAAATAATAAACGTATAATGTTTATTGTAGTTTATTCTAGTCAGACAATACCCACACTTCTCCTGAATAAGAAAATTTTTGGTTTCTGCGTTTACCGGCGTATCGGGAACTCCGACAACGGTACATCCATAGGATTTCAATCCTTGTTTTTTAAATTTTGACTGCGTCTTTTATGCTTTGTTCGTCTATTGACTACGCCTTATACTCGACTTCTTTTTATTATCTTTGTTAATCTTCGTATATGTAAATTTTAACGCTGAAGAGGACACGAATAATGTGTCGAAACGTACGTTAATATATGTATATATATATTTATTTTTACAAATTGTTTGCGCTTTGATTACCGCGCCTGGCTCTAATTGCCTCTCCTATTCACATTGCAGAAAATTTTTAGTTTTTACATTTCAGATACCTAGAACAGCTAGAATCTTTTACACACCTCCTATCACACCTCCTAGGTCTTCTATCACACCTCCTAGAGGTCAGGATATAAAAAAGAGCATTTCTGTTACTTAAAAAATAAAAAACATTCTTAAAATAAGGCTAAAAGTTTACAAAACAAAGTTTAGCGTTATTCACTTTTTTTCGTTTTCCTACAAAATATTCCTAAAAAATTTCGTTTTTCTACAAAAAATTCCTGAAAAATACCTTTTTTACGACCTTTTAAACAGAATATCTTCTTAATAAACATTATGTAAAGAAAAGCTTATACTTGATAACTGACTGAAGAGGATCTAAATAGAAATCGAAACTAGTTCCATTGTAAATTAACCAGAGAAAGTATTATAAGTATATAAACATATATAGTTATAATATTACATAATATGAGTGACCTCCGTTTGGACACGTAACGATTGGACACCGCTCGATTGGACACTGCACGATTAACACCGCTGAATTGGACACCGCACGATTGGACACAGCTTTAACATTGTACGGTTTGCGTGATTTGTGTATAGACAGTACACACGTAGGCGGAGGAGGGGCGTAGCTTCTCCCTCGCAAGCACTGGTGGGTGGAAATGGACCTCGGTTCGCGTGATAAGTTGAAAACCAATGTGGAACCGATCGTACGGTATCCAATCGTGCGGTGTCCAATCGTGCAATGTGCATGTCTAATCGTGCGGTGTTGAATCGTATTGTGTCTAATCAAGTGGTGTCCAATCGTTACGTGTTTGAACGAGATACGTCTCATTATCTCTATAATCTCAATAAATGTTACCGACTGCATTAGAAATTAAGAGAAATAGTAGTTTTATAATTTATATTGCAGGTGCTTGCGTCATTAAAACACAAAATAGACCAATTTCTTTCGAAACATAACAATGTAGATTTATTGGTTGAACAAGCAAGATCGTTTCTGATTGGTCGAGAAAACAAACTAGTGAATGCAAGAAAAAATGTGATAGAAGCTGCTGCCCAGTCCTCATCTATTAAAAGACATTCTTTGGCCGGTGAATCATTCTCAAGAGGTATTATTTATTTCATGAATATAAGAATTAAGT